ATTCGAAAAGCCAAGATCGTCATCTTTCCGAAAGCAATTGTTCACCCAATTCACTATACAAATAGACAAAAGAAACGGCGAGATCGGTAGAAGACCACAAAACCCTAAGCCACTTGAGTTCAAACAAGACGAAATGGAAATCTACCCATTCAAAGACGAAGAGACTGGCCACATATTTTTTGATGTTTGCAACTGCCCAGCTTGCGAAGAAGCATATTACGAATCTGATGAAAATGACCGAACAAAACGAAGAATGAAGAAAGATCCTCTCTACAAAAGATACATTGAAGGAGATCCTACTGTCGGTCCACTAGGCGATGATAGATACGAATTCATCGTGCAATATTCTGAAAGGAAAGAAGAGCCAAAACAACTTATGATGATAGATCCAGACGACTTTCCCCCATGAGAAGACTTCACAAAAAACAATATCGCTCATTGCCCAAAGATTCTCTCTCAAGCCATCAACTCTTCTGGTCCTGATCAGCTGAGTGAAGCAGAGAAAGTTCTCAACTGGCAAATAGAGAACGCTCTCGCCCAAAATCAACTTTTATCTACAATTAACAACAAAGTTGATAAATTGGCGGAAAATTGCAACAAAAGGTTACACGGCCTTCAAAGTTCTATAACCGAGATACATGGAAGACTTAACAACCTTCACCATGAAATGATGGCCATGGCGCAAAACATGATGGTGAACACTACCCAGTTCCGCAACAAAGAACCAGAGATGGCAAGCCTGAAAAATCAACTAAGAGATCTCTAAAAAAGCCTAGAAAGCATGGTCCAAAATCAACGACGTTCAGATGCTTACTTTGATCCCCTTAGTTACATATCGCCAGGAATACCTACTTATCACAGAGCATATTCCCCCGGATTCCTCTCTGGCGACCAAACAAAAAAGGCAAAAACTCCACTGCCTAGTTTCCTCTCATCCGATGAAATCTTCACATCTCACTATGGATCAATGTCTATCATCTATCCACAGCAACAACAAACGCGCTCAAAACCCCGAAGACAAAAGGAGTCAGATTCCCAAGCAAATCCGAATAAAAGACCTGTTCTCACTTCATCCTCCAGCCACGAATTAGTTTACGAGAAAAAAAGACGGATAAAGGAAAAGACATTGGAATAATCGAGTTTTCGATGACCAGTCTACTCAACACTCTTGGAAAAGACTCTGAGATATCTGATTAATCGTCAAAGATCCAAAAAAATACACAGTCCTCGTCTGCAAAACCTATTGCAAAAATTGAGCATCTTTCTGACACAAGCTCGAGAGACTATAAGATCGACTCCTACGAAGAATCTCTGCCAAGACAATTCGCAATTGGCGAAAGCTCGTACACTTCGAAAAAAGAACCAAGTATCAACGAAGTATATTCAAGTGATGAAGATATGGAATTCGTGCCGCCGCTTAGGACATAAATACCGACAACAAAGCACTTTGCTTCAAAAGTCATGGTATTCACCTTCGATGATATTCCTTTTGAAAAATGGAATGATCGTCTAGACGAATTTCATGCATGGATGAACTCAGAAGCCCTTACATCTCCTCTACACTTGGTCATACAACAATTCACTGCCCGTCTGTCAGGAGCACTCAAAGAATGGTGAAATTCACTCGGTAAATACATACAACAACAGGTCTATCAGACAACTATACCATTCCTTCTCGGGGAGATTCACAGAGAATTTATTGGTACGCCAACACACCAAAAGGAGCAATTAAAAGAAGAATTCTTCTCGGCAAAATGTTGTTCTCTAAGAAAGAAGGATCTCACAAAACATGGTGAGAGACAGAAAAAAAGATACTATGCTCTTAACGGCCTCAACAATCCTAGTCTGAAGCATGTCTACCTCTCTTCCATCGATGATTATCTTAGTCAACAAACCAAGTTATACATTAGAGATCAAGGACAAACAATCGAAGACATTTCTATCAGTCAGATCCAGCAATACGTCTTCAGAACACTCGACAAACTCTGCAAGCAAAAGGAATTCTGGATGGAATTCATGGATAGATCAAAAAACTATCTAAAATCAGTGCCAGACCTGATCTCTTTATCAAATGTTGAAAACTTAAGAAGACTTGTCCTTGCAATTTGCATGAGAAACGCAGGAGATTCAAACAACGATTCTCTAAGAACTCTTCAAAGTTCAGACGCAAGAAATTCTTCCGGAAGAAACGAAGTTACAAAAAGGCGTCAAAATGTTTCCTATGTCGAAAGGAAGGACATTTTGCAAAAAATTGTCCAAAAAAATCAAAGAAGAAGAAGCAATACCTAATCAATTCAATAGCCGAGATCGCACCACACATTGACCTCAACAGTCACGACTTGGAGTCTGTTCTGTCCTATGATACTGACGACAATGATGCAATTTGTGGGTATTCAGAAGACGATTATTCTTCTGAATCTTCACCTGATGACGATGAAGACTGTTGTTTCAAAATCGCAGAAATACCACAAGAAGAAGAGCTAGAAGAGCTGCAACCTCCTCATGTACAAGCAACAATCTTTGACCCATCCAAGAAAGAAGATCCCGTCCGCGTCATTGCATTCATAGATACCGGGGCGTATAAAACAATCGTGAATCCCAAGATTCTATCACCTTCAATGTGGCTACCTCACCAACAAGAATTTCGTGTTGCTAATGTTGGCTCGTTGACCATCAAGCTCAAGTCAAAACCGATCATTATCGAGCTCTTCCCCGGATGTCGAATCACTATAGCAATACTGGGATCTACAACACCAAAGAAATATCTCATATTGGGATGGAATGCTTATTACGCTTTCAAGAAAGCTTATAATATCTCCATCAAACCAAATGGATTAAAATGGAATTCACTCTTCAAAGCCTTCACATCAACCCCTCGACTATTTTCAATCAAAGAACCGGCATTACAAGAATTAACGAAAATCAAAGAAGAAATGACAACGAAATCATGTGCTGACAGTCACACAGATTTCTTACAAAAATGTAATAACCCGCTTTGGTTAAATTCAAAGTTCTTCATTACGTTACCATTCAAAGAAAACGTTGACACAACACCAACAAAGGCAAGTCATGCAGGAATGCCACCCACCTTGCTAAAACAAGCTAATGAAGAATGTGATCAGCTAGTGGAACAAGAAGTCGTTTCATTAACAAACTCTCCATGGGCGTGTAAAGCATTCTATGTCAACAACCGTGCAGAACAAGCAAGAGGAAAACTCAGATTAGTCATTGACTACAAGCCGCTAAATCAATACCTACAAGACGTCAAATTTCCACTGCCAAATAAAACGGCGCTTCTTCAACACTTCAAGGAGCAACAATATTCTCGAAATTCGACCTCAAATCTGGATTTTGGCAACTTGGAGTTCACCCCGAAGAAAGATACAAGACTGCATTTTGTCTACCAGATAGACATCTTCAATGGAATGTCCTACCTTTTGGGCTCAAGACAGCACCTTCACTATTCCAGCAGGCAATGCTTCGTATATTCAAGCCCATACTCCACACGGCCCTGATTTATATAGATGACATACTTCTATTCTCGTCGACCGAAAAGGAACACGTCCAACTTCTTCAACAGTTCCAAAGCATAGTACTACAATATGGGATTATGCTCTCGGCCCGAAAGATGGTCATAGCCCAGCCCAACATCGAATTTCTTGGGATGCAAATCGAAAATGGAATTTTCTCACCTCAAGCCCATCTAGCTACAACACTCCTCGACTTTCCCGACGAAAATCTCACAAAACGACAAGTCCAACAATTTCTTGGCGTAATCAATTACGTTAGCGACTTTATTCCGCAACTTTCGCAGATGACAAGACCGCTACAGAAGATGCTGACAAAAAATCCACCACAATGGACTAATCGACAAACAGAAGCTGTCAGAAACCTAAAAATAGAGGTGCATAAGCTACCGCCTTTAAAGATTCCCTTAACCGGCACGCGTATCGTACAGACTGACGCAAGTGACAAATATTGGGGAGCAATTTTATTTGAAGAAATAAATGGAAAACGTAAAATCTGCGGATACAAAAGTGGACGCTTTAAAGATTCTGAGATGCATTATCACTCCACGTTCAAAGAAACCTTAGCGGTCAAGAAAGCCATTGAGAAGTTCGAGTTCCATCTGATAGGACATAAATTTCGCATTGAGATGGACATGTCATCTTTTCCAAAGATGTTACAATTCAAGCATCAACAATTATTAAGATGGAGCGAATGGTTCTCGAAGTACGATTTCGAATCAGTCTACTTAAAGGGATCAAAGAACACTCTTGCTGATATGCTCAGTAGAAACACAGTTAAAGAAATACAAATTATGGAGAGCTCCTCTGAAAAAAGCTTCTATGACTTCACAGCAAGCATGCCAGAAGACGCTCATGAACTCATCACCAGAAAAACCTTCCATGAACACCTCCTCAACAAGATATTTCGCTACCAATCCATCATCCTGGCAAAATACGGTCCAGAAAATCACTTCATTTCACCAATGGGAATTCATCCCGATTACCCGTTCACACACCTCTACAGGATCGAAACCGTCTACATGCCAGAAGAAGTCCTCTGTTTCCTCAGGTACCTCTGCTCGGTTATCTCGAAGTACGATTTCGAATGGTTCTCGAAGTACGATTTCGAATCAGTCTATTTAAAGGGATCAAAGAACACTCTTGCTGATATGCTCAGTAGAAACCCAGTTAAAGAAATACAAATTATGGAGAGCTCCTCTGAAAAAACGCTTCTATGACTTCACAGCAAACATGCCAGAAGACGCTCATGAACTCATCACCAGAAAAACTTTCCATGAACACCTCCTCAACAAGATTTTTCGCTACCAATCCATCATCCTGGCAAAATACGGTCCGGAAAATCACTTCATTTCACCAATGGGAATTCATCCCGATTACCCGTTCACACACCTCTACAGGATCGAAACCGTCTACATGCCAGAAGAAGTCCTCTGTTTCCTCTGGTACCTCTGCTCGGTTTTCACCATAGGTATGACGCTCGACATCTCGTGGGTATACCAAAACATAAACGCTCAACTCTCCAACCCCCAGCGTGAACGCAAAGAATGTCTCGCAACATTTCTGTCATGGTTTGCTCCATTATCTGCCTGGAATGGAAAGCTGAGAAAATCTGCAAAGGCAACCAGTATGTCATTCAAGAGGTTAAAAGGTCAAGGAGGACCTAACCCTTTCTTTAACCCTCACACCATCTGCTTCTTCCACCGTCCTGTTCAGATCAACGGCAAAACCGACAAAATTCATGCTCTACTAACACTCATCCATCACAAAGACTTCCAAAGAGATTTACGACCATATTTCAACATCAACGACATCAAACTTTACGAAGAGTTCTAGACTCACGCGTTTACACTCAATAACGCTAGGAAAAACTTTGCCATTCCGTTTACCCCAAATTGGCTTTACTATCCAATCGACTATCAAATGAGCCTCGACGAAGATCTCATGTTCTACGGTGAAAGACGACGACTTCCCTCTTACGAACCAAAGCCGATGAAGCAAGAACCTCAAGAACCACAAACTCAAGAATGTCCGCCGGAATATTTTCAAGATTCGCAACTCCCTGATGATTCTATGAATATAGATGAAATCGGTAAGATGTTCGATATTGATGTTAACGACGATTCCCAGAAAACTTATGAAGAACCAGAAGACGAATACATATGCTCAGATGATCACTACGGATGCTGCGAAAAACACATCATCGAGTTCGAGATAGACCACTAAAAGGTCATTAAGCTATGTTTAAATATGTTTAAATAATGTGTCAAAATTATGTGTGCTTTATTATATAAACTAATTATGTCCAATAATGATGTAAGCATGATGTAAGCGATGATGTAATCACAGTGGCTGAGGTAAGCGCTTATGTCAGCGCCTTATCCTCTCCCCTATAAATATGTGTGTACCCCCTTGTATAAGGATCATCAAATAATTTCCATAAAAACCTCTCTCTTGTTTATCTCTCTACAATGTCTTTCTAAGTTCTCTCTAGTTTTCCAGAACTTAACTCATCTCTTATGAGCTTAGATTTCTATTCTCCTCTCGCGAGTTCCGATCATGCCACTTGCAATTCCTTAGCTTGAGCAGATTTGTCAATACGACTCTGTCAACACGACTTTCGTGGGGAGGCAATTTCCTAACAGTGGCTTGAGCAAATCGAGAGCCCTAAGTAGTGGCTATATCGCTCCCTTTACCTGGAAATTGCAGACCCTCGTCTATCAACACGACTTGTCAATACGACGTCTATAAAATAAGAAATAACCTTCTATAATATTTGTATATAAATATTGCATATTTCTAATTAAAATCACACTAAATATTCCTATCAAATGAGATAGCTGTAAATATTTTCAAAATAAAAGGACACCTAAATCTTTGATATATATTTTAATTCATATAACCATGAAAAGAAAGATATTTAAAATCTAATTACACATGGTAAAACATCAAAGTAATGGAAAAATAGTTCACTGAATTTGGAGATGGTTTAATATGAATTACCAAAACAAAAGCATTTAAATGAAAGGAGAGCCCAAAATATCACAGTGGTAAAGAATTTTAAATATTGTTAAAACATGAGGGTACCTCAAAAAGTGACCTTCTGTTTTAATAGTATTAAAAGTGTGGGATATTTTATTGTAAAAATTTAATAAAAAAACCTCAAATACTTTGGTAATTATATTAAAATCGATATACCCGTCTTATTTAAAATCAACCCAAATTTAATTTCCAACCCGTTTAGACCAAATTTTGTTATGCACATAATTTATAGATGTAAAATTTTTACATCATTTACATAGATATTTTATTTCATCTGTTTTTAAATGAGTTAAATTTTGGATATTGAGATTTTTGGTTAATATTATTAATTCATTAAAAATATGGAAAAAATAATTATTAAAATTGTTACTTTCAGTTTTATTACAGATTTTGACGCTTTGATCATAAATTTTGTGAATAGAGGATAATTTTTTTTAAATGTCAACTATATTTAGATTTTCAACAGGTAAATTACTTTTTAATACAAACTTCAAAAATTATGATGCTGTACTTACTGTAAATTTTATTTGAATTGTGTAAATTTTAAATATATATAATAGAATATAAACGAAAGCTTTAAAATGATCAGAGATTGAATTTTGTATAATCTAAAAGTTAAATAATGTAAGTTATTCCCATTGGCATATGATAGTTGGAATCGTAAAAAAGTTTGAATCCAACAAAACTAACAAACTTGACTTATCAATATTAAAGTTGGAGGTAATCTTCGTACAAAAGATAATTTTTTGTTTACCAATTCAATTTCTCATGTTAAATAACATTCAATAATCTGATCTGTTGTCAAAACCAAGTGCTTGTATCTATTTTAAACAGTGAAGGAAAAGCGTAGTTTTACTAAGAGCTGAAGTTACAAACTTGACAAATCTAGTTCCAAAGACAAGTTTTTTGCATTTTGTAAAATATTTTAACATTGAGGATAAAAGAAACATTCTTTGTGCTATTTTTGACTTTCTTTCATATATCACTTCTTTAAGGTAGCGAGACTCATTGCTAATGTACAAATGAAAGCACACATGATGTTCATCATAAAATAAAAAGCACACATGAGGCAAAATAATCAATAAAGTACACACACGAGGAAATATAATACAAAGGTTAGTATTAATTGTTATCGGAAATTTTTAGACTATGAAATTGTTTTAATCATTCCTCTGAAATAACTATTTGCATGTAAAGCTTATGCATACGTAACAACTTTTGAGTAGCTCTAGAAGCATAACTTTTATACTTTGAAGTATGAAATTTTAATGACAATTTTTGAATTATGAAGCATGGATTTTTTTACACATGCATACACAGCAAAACACATACTAACAACAAAATACATTAGTAACGAACTGTTAAAGCAGAAAAAGTATGAAATTTCTTGGTAGCTTTTTTTTTTAACACTGAATTTCTTTTCTTCAATAAAGTTTCATATAGACCTAAAGCACCTTATGTTACTAAAATACACCCCGAAAAGGGAAAAAAAGGAAAAAACAGCAGATACCAGTAGGTATCATCAAAACGAAGTGTATAAAAGAAATTCCACCCATGAAGAAATAGGAGAAGGGTTGGTTACAGAAACAGCTTCGAGAATAGGGAAAGAGGAGAGCACCTATAAATGGCTTAGCTTGGATAGATACTATGGTTATATATATAGCAAACGACAATTAGGTTAAATATATATATATATATTGAATATTAAATAGGATCCAAAAAATTATTCTGATTCAAATACCTTGCTTATGTAATTTTCTAATATATTGTTATAGATTTTATATCACAACCCGAGAGAAGGAGCTAAAAATTTTTAGAGGGTGCAGTTAAATAAGAAGAGAATATATCGCATCGATCCTATTTTCTCTTGCTATATATCCGGGTGCAGTTTTAGTTGTAACTTTGCAGGATTTGAATTATTTGATGTGGTTTCAGTTTTTTTTTTTTTTTTGTCAACAAAAAACTGATCTATTACTCAAGCTTGATGTGATCTGAGAAACTATACCAAAATAGAACAACCAACATACAAAAGATCTTGATAGAAGGATCGAGCATTTTAGCTAAAGAATTAGAAACACCATTTTGTGTCCTAGGAACATAGAAGATCTTAAAATATGGAAAATGATATACCATGATTTTGACCCGTTTTTGGTCATGGATATGTTTTTATTATAATTATCTATGTTTTGGAATCTATTAGGTATGTTTTCAGGTTCAGGAGCATTTTGTAGTAGAGTGATGATTTAGGTGCCTTATGGAGCTTAAAGGAGAGTTTTACAAGATGACTATGAAGATCCGACATTGAGAGACATATATCGATCGATACACACCTTGTGTAATCGATCGATGACGATTCCGTAGAAGTTGAAGTCGAGATACTCCATCGATCGATGTACACCATGTACTATCGATCGATACAGAGCGTGATGACCAAGATTTACTTGGCCAACTTGAAGCCCAAGTTTTCACTAAATTACAAGATTGCCCCTCACGAGTTTTTAACATAATTGTACTCCATATTTATAGTTATGCCTATGAGCCCTAGAAAGATATCATTAGATTTAATAAGAAAGTTTTGTATTCTATTTCTACTTAAGCTATAAAAGTATTTTTTTTTCATCTTATTCTTTTGCTATGAATCTCTTGGCTATGTCTGAGTAGATTCATTTGTTAGATTTGGGGTTCAAATAGTCATGAGGGATTAGCCCCAACTATGGATTGTTGAGTTGTTATATTCATTATCCAAATGAACCCTACTGCTTACTCTAGATTTTCTACCTAGAGTTATGATTATGGAGTGACTAATCTAATAGTCATTTTCCTGAAATCATTTGGCTAAACCCAGACTCTATTAGGCACGATGCGACAGCCGTTCTAATAGAAATTCTCGGGTGAACACAGTTTCAATTCGATCTGATGCTATATATCGATCGATACTCCTATAGAGTCATCGATCGACGGCAACATATATCAATCGACACTGCGATAGCAACATCGATCAAAACTGTCGGCAATCAGATCAATGGACGAGTCTAATAGCGACAGCTATAGATTTGTCTAAGGATTGAAGTTCTCATATATTTGCAAGCAATTCGTTAAGACATCCATAGATTTATAATCCTGATTTTCTGAATAGAAACCTTGAATCTAACTACTTTCTTTCATTATTTTCAAACCCAAAACCTATTTTCCTTAGCAACTTACCATTGCTACCAAGTTTTATTTATTGTTTTAAAACTTTTCAACCTAGCTTAATCACTTAGGATTATATCTTTTGTGACTCTAGTTCCTTGTGGATTCGATCCCTAAGTACTACGACTGAACCTCTTATTTGAGAGAGTAAATCACTCCTTAGGGTAAACATTTGAGTGACATCAAATTAGGCGCCGTTGCCGGGGAACTAAGATCACTATTAGATTTAATCTGATTCAGTCTAGGTCATTTGTTACTTTTTATTTTTTTCCATCTTTTGACACAAAATATTTTCTTTTCTTTTTGTCTCTTTCAGGTACATGCCCACAATACTAGAAGCAACAAGGATAAGCAACTTTTGTACTCAAAAGATCCCAACAATCTGGAACGTAGCATCCGCAAAGACCTACGCTCCACATCGATCGATACCAACACCTCTATATCGACAGATACGCGCTTTCCACCGACGATCAACAACCGTTCGTTGACCGACACCAACACCACCTCATCGATCGACATCAACAACCGTTCGTCGACTGATACCCTTCACTAGACATCGATCGATACACCTCACCCTACATCGATCGATACTAACCGGTGAGACATGGTGGCGCCTATGATTCTCATATCCGATGAGAATGGAGACCTGCGTGATCAAGATGGTCACCTGCGAAATGCAGCAGGCCAGAAGCTGAATGATCAGAAGGAGATCATTACTGAAGAAGAGACTGCACCCACATGCATCATTCAAACTGTAGAAGAGACCAGAACTTTGGCTGATTACAACCGTCCGGATCAGTTCTATTCAAACCGAACAGCCATCCTCCCTCCTGCTATTCAAAGAGGAGATTTTGAGCTCAAGCCGCAGTACTACACACTTGTAGGACAAATCCCTTTCTGTGGTTTGCCTCATGAGCATCCTATGGACCATCTGGAGAGGTTCGAGGATCTTGTAACCCTAGTCAAAGCAAAAGGAGTCCCTCAAGACTATC